CGGTCTAGCCCACAACTTCTGAAGAGTCTGCCTCATCTTTTCAAAGAAACCAGTGTATGAAACATGGTGATGGTGTGTATCAAGCCCTGCAATACTTTGGAGCACTTGGGAGCCCAGGGCATGGCACTGAGGCCAGCGGTAATCCACTGCTCACGAGTGGTGTTCCCCTGGGGTCAGTGTTGGGGCTGGTCCTCTTTAATATCTTAATTAATGGCCTGGATGAAGGTCCTGAGTGCACCCTCAGCAGATTTGCAGACAACACCAAGCTGGGAGGAAGAGCAGGTCTGCTTGACCGTAGCAAGGCTCTGCAGGGGGGTCTGGACAGCCTGGATCGATGGCCTGAGACCAAATGTATGAGGTTCAACAAAGCGGAGCGCCGGCTCCTGCACTTTGGTCACAACAACCCCATGCAGTGCTACAGGCTTGGAGCAGAGATGGCTGGAGAACTGTGTGACAGAAGAGGATCTGGAGTTGCTGGTCCATGGCCAACATGAGGCAGCAGTGAGCCCAGGTGGCCAAGAAGGCAAATGGCCTCTTGGCTGGTATCAGGAACAGTGTTGCCAGCAGGACCAGGAAAGTGATGGTGCCTCTGGACTTGGCGATGGTGAAGCTGCCTTTTGAGCATCGTGTTCATTCTTGCGCCCCTCGCTACAAGAAAGACATAGAGATGCTGGAGCGAGTCCAAAGAAGGGCAATGAAGGTGGTGAAGGTGCTGGAGGACAGACCTGTGAGGAGCAGCTGAGGGAGTTGGGATTCTTTAGTCTGGAGAAGAGGTTCAGGGGAGACCTTGTCACTCTCTACAACTACCTGAAAGGAGGCTGTAATGAGGAAATAACTACCAAAAAGAGGAAATGAGGAAATGGTCTCAACATACCCCGGGGGAGGTTCCAGATAGACATTAGGAAAAATTTCTATAAGGAAGGAATGGTGAAGCACTGGAATAGGCTGCCCAGGGAAGTGGTGGAATCACTGTCCCTGACGGCGCTCAAGAAATGAGTAGATAAGGCCTTTCCTCTGGCTTGCAGGGACCTTCTGCCCCCATGGCAGCGAGATGCCCACTCACAGTTTCACCCTGGTGTGGGGTTACTCATGCTTAGAAACACTCTTTGAGCTAAACAAACAGCTCTGCATAAAAAGAAATGTCATATTGCGGTCTAGCCCACAACTTCTGAAGAGTACCTCATCTTTTCAAAGAATTCAGTCTACTGAGACTTGGCAATGGTGAGAATGATGTTCTGCAACATCATGCCTGGGGCATGGCATCCATTGTATCATGTCATTTCCTTTACGCTAGTTACACCTTGGGTTCCTAGAAGCGCAGAAACTGCTTTGATCCATGTTTCTGTAAATCCTTCTTCTCCATTAAGACATTTCCTCCACTGCACCATCATGGAAGGCAGCCTGCTCATGTGGCATTGCCACTGAGACCGTGACAGTCCAGCTGCCAGGCACACTCCCTAGCACGGCAAATACTTGTCGTCCCTGTAACACTCTCTTGTGATTGGCAACACTTTTCCTTTCCCTGCTTCCATTCTCCTGAGGTTACAGCCACAAACCTTTGCCTGCAACTCGGCACCTTCTCTGCAGATGTTGCATTTCCAAGAGAAATTCCTCTGCGAGCACAGTGACACCACTGCTCTCCCAAAGCGTCGGAGCTGAGCTCATGGCCTGGGAGAATGACAGAACAGAGCCAAGGGGGTTGATTCTACATTGCCAGACCAAAGAGTTGTGTAGGAGAAACTTCCAGAACAGGTGAGGTTAAGAGCTTCTAAAACACTTAGAAAACACTAATGGCTGAGCCTAGGGCTCATTGCTAACAGCCTGCTATTTCACCTGGAGCTTGAACTTGGGAGACAGCAATGCAGCAACAGGACAGATGTCCCAAAGACTCTGTGCTGGTGACAGAGAGAGAGAGGAACCCAGACGGAGGCTGGCAGCAAGCTCTGCCCACTGCTCTGCATGCACTGGTAGTGGTGGCATTTTGGGATCTCTTGGAGAAACCTCTGTGAGGAAGTGCCTGCTTGAGGGGTGCTTTGCTGACCCAGTGCATCGGGCAGCCTGCAAGGGCTGCTTGGCACAGGGACTCTCGCTGGTAAAGCTGTGGTCAGGGAAGTGCCCTGGTCCTGTTTCTTCTCTGCGGCTGATGACATTCTAGGAAATAATTGTGTGCGGCAGACATGTTTATTCCACATCCATGGGCCTCATGTGACTTCTAGGCAATAGGTGGAACTATTAACATCATGAAACACTGCTTTCATCCTTTCCATAGACCCCTTTTGGTAATGGGGAAGGAAAAGGGCTTGGGTCATATCCTCTTCACTTTATCATTTCGGAGTCTTTTATCATTAGCTCATACTTGCAGCATCAGGGCACTGCTGCTTATTGGGGTTCTGGGCACTTCCCTTTGTCATTCAGTGTGCCGAGCTCACACTTGACACAGCACTTCTTCCATTGTGT